CCCCCCCCCCCCCTCCTGGATCCTCCCTTGCTCCTAATGTATAAGCTAAAGCACAAGCCAAGAAAAAGGAAACCTTCCGATTCCAACACCCTTCTGACTTCACGCAACATTGTCTCCTCTTATTGTAATGACGTAAGTCAAAATGTTTTCTCCCACTAACGACAGAACTAGATCAATTATTTTCTTATTCACAATACGTTCCCTCCACTACATTAGGAATCATTTATTATATAAATGATAATATCCATTAAAATATTTGAGATTAAAAAAAAAAAACGCGTGTTGATTGGCTGGCTAACGTGTTTGAATCTGAGGAAAGAGAAAAGCTTAGCCCGCGTAGCGGCGCTTTTGGGAGAGCCGGGGAAGGGCCACTACGCAGGCTAAGAAAAACTTACACACAACCATATACAAAATAAATATATTCTGTATTTATTTTGGCTCTGTATTGTGATATAAAAATTCTGTGGAGAATGTAGAGCACTTGATGAGCAAGAGTAACACTCTCCCTCACCTCTTAGGTTTCGGATTCGATTTCAAGACGAGTATCACATGTGAGTAGAGTTTGCTAGGTCTCCCTTCATTCGGGGATTTTTCTTCCTCCCCTGCAAAACCTAACGAGCTAAATTCCAATTTGATCTATTAGCCGTGCCCTGATTTTTACCATACCAGCCAATAAAATGAGTTGAAGCTGTGAGTCCTGTCCATAGTAAGGAACAGTGCTCTACACTAGTCTCCTGCGCAGCCGCTATTAGTGCCGTCACGCAACGCTAGCGTTGCGCGTTGCGCGACGATACTAAAAACGGCTTCGTTTATATAAGTATCGCAGTACGGAGGCGCGAGCAAGCGTTTAAAAAATGGTAGTTCTTCAGCTAACAGCTGGTCTTCGAAGCGATGATTGCATAACATCTGGGAGACTTCACGGGATCAAACATGGCTACTATTCTAGCATTGGTCATACCCTATAAAACAGAAATTGTTTAAAAATCAAATTAGAGACAGCAAGACCGTCGCTAGACCGTCGTCACTAATACCCCAGCATCTTGAGACTACTATTTAACATCATATATAGAGTATAACACATGGAACCAATTGCATCAAAAAGGGTGGATCTAGGGGGTGGGGGGCAAAGGGGGGCTGAAGCTCCTCCCACCCCCCTTCAGCAGAAAAAAACAACAAAAAAAACTGAAGAATTAGATGCTTTTTCATCGTTTTCCGTCGCGTTGACGGAAGAAACTCAATTAGCCCCCCCTAAAATTTTGGCTGGATCCGCCCTTGATCAAAATAGTCAAGTTTATAAATTATATATACCTTTTCGTGTAGATAACATAGTCGGTCCATCAGAAACACACTTTCAATACAAGGTGCAATGCAAGCCCGCAGCTGGTGAAGAAGGAAAAACAAAAATATAGATTGTTTCCGGACTGTTTAAGAAATAGAAAACGCCGGCGCGCGTGCTATGTGCAGTCGTGTTTGGGGAAGCACGACGCGTAGCTCATGTTCTGCCAATCCGTAAGTGCTTTATAACTTTACACAGCACAGTTAGCAAGTTTTTTATTTCTTTAATAAAATACAAATTAGTAACCAACATATCTTCTGTTTCATTTTTATCTAYATCTCAAGAAATTTTGAGTCGTGGTTGCACCCCAAGACTATATTTGAGAACAGTTTTTATAAGCTTACCTGATGAAACGCCCTTATTTCACGTTCCCTGTCTTGAAATCTTCTATAATATGCCTGTATTTCTTCATCTGAAATCTGTGGAACATAAATGGGATCTTTAAAATCCATGAGAGATTCCTGATACAAATCAAAGCGCCAGGGATGACGGAGATCCATATTTTAAACAAATGCTTCTTACCATTTTGTTTTCCAGGCCAAGCCTCTTAAAACTTTTATGGATGTATTCTGTAAACGTTTTGCACTTCGCTCCAATTCTTCCAACATGCATTCCTCTGATAACGTAAAAACAATATGAGAGAAATATTTTTGATTTTTTTTTTTTTTCGGCTTTAGAATTTACCTAAAGCAAGCACGAGGGAATCAAGGCTGGCGTAGCGGTAGTGCACTCGCCTCCTACCTCTGGCCATGTGGTATCAGGTTTGATTCAAGGCATCACATGTGAGAGGAGTTCGTTTCCTGCATCTAATCGAGGATGTTTCTCCGGGTTCTCAACTTTTTCTCCCTCTGCAAAACCTAAGCAGCTAAATTCCAATTCTATCTGTGAGTTACCTGTGCTCGGACTTTGATCGGCCCAGATATTGTTTCAGGATTTGATCTGTGAGTTTTGTAGTCATGCCCTGACTTTGATCCCTACTTTGATCAGCCCAGAGGTTTTTTCTCGGGGCATCAATAAAATTTGAATGTTATTTGGGGGCATTTTCATTGAACAAACCATAAAATCGTGAATTGTAATTGGTTCTGCGGATTTGGTCTATCAACGTGCCTTTAACTTTGGACTCATTTGAAATCTGCTATGAAGAATTAAACTTACGTTGTATCTAAGCCTAATTTCTCCTTGAGTATAACCTACAAAACGATAAAAAATACATATTCTGAGTAATTCACACAAGATTGAAAAACTTAAACTTAACACGCTCAATGTTGATCCATTAATCGTTTACCGTGCCAGGACTTTGATCAGCCCAGAGGTTGTATTATCAAGGTATCAATGAAATTGATGTTGGTTTACTTGATCTCGTTTATAAAATATGCCAATTTTACCTGCAGTACTGCATGATAGAATGTACTTGGTGCTGGTATGTTCCAGTTTTCTATCATAATTTATTTAGAATGTCATATCTTACCTGCAGTACCGCACGATAGAATATACTTGGTGCTGGTATCTGAAATTATGAAAAACTGTCTTTTTATATGTCAAATAGACTCGATTCTCTATTCTTACAGCAATGGTAATGGAATTCCCTAATACATGTACTTAGAAGGGAATTTAAAAGCATTATCTGAAAAAGGTCTTGAATGATTACCTTGCATTCTGAAGCAATCCTATCTGCTGCCTGCAAACACATCAAATTTTTATCATTTACATTTAGTTTTCTGATATAAAAATAATCATTGAAGTCATGTGACAAGTAAACGTTTTAGGATGGATTGGAGAAATTGAAGACAAAAAGGTGGTGTTACATACTGTAAGACGATTCCCAATGACAACTTTTTGCTATAGTGTAACATGGTGCGCAGTTAAGATTTTAAACTTTATTTTCTTGCTGCAACATGTTGCAGGTTTTTGAATGACTTTCAAAGCTCACAACATTGTTGCTATCAATTTGTGTTGTCATGCACGCCATGTTATAGAAGGTCAACTTTTAGCGCAACAATGTAGGGGAGACATATAATTTTAATAAGAATGCATTACATATCTACATGTACTGTACCTGTTGTGCTACCATGGTAGCATTCCTGCTGACCCTAAAGTTTTGCTGTTTTAGAAAATCACTCAAGGGGAAGCCATGTTCAGCTTCAAGGCCTGACAATACAAAATAAAAACAAAGTATGATCTTGGTCAGCCTATTCCTTCCCTTTTAATTTTACTCCCAATTAATCTAATCAAACTACCTACCTTCACAAGACTGCATGTTTTCTTCCATTTCAATTGGTGTTTCAGAGTCTGTAGGCTGTGACAGTAAATGGTAGCAGCAACCAACTAGACAGAGAGCTTTCACAACTGAGTCTTTGATAAAAATATTGATAGCTGTTGGAGCCAGGTCACCACAAGTATGCAAACCAACTAAAATAATCCCTTTATTTATGTCATTACAAATACTGGTATTTTTCTTCTCAAACAAAGCCTCAAGGTTCTGATATATCTGTGCACTGCTACTAACATGTGCTGTGACAGGAAGGTATGAATCGTGTTTTGAAGTTTCAATAGTTTTCAAACATGATTTCTGAACATCTTTATCAGGGATGTCATCCTTTCCAGGTAAAACAGTGTTCTGAATATTCCCATCTTCACAGTGACCTATTGAAATCTTTTTTGAAGAAGAATACGGATGCATATCATTTGATGATGATGATGATGATGAATTGTCTACAGTTGAAGAGCTTTCCCATGATTCCGGAACATTGTCACTTCCAAGTGAAACTGCACCTAGACTTGTATCATTTGAATGATCGACAACATATTGACTGCAAGATTCTTTAGTCCTACTATAAGAATTCTCTTGATTTTGGCTTCTTTTGAGCAGAGAATGCCACACTTTTAAGGTCTTTTCGTTCCTTTTTTCAGCATTCATCGTGTTTGATTCTCTTGAGTCTATACCCAACACAGGTATCCCATGTTTCAATGCTAAGTATTGGCTGAGATAGCCTTTACCGCTACCCAGGTCAACAACCTGGCAAGAAGAAAAATGTTACTATCAAAAAATCCTTTATAAAAGAACTGTYGTAGATCTTGCTTTATGATTGGATGAAGGTCGGTGCATTATGAGAGCACAGAGCATGATCGCACGCTTTCTATTTTATCATTCAATAACCAAAATAATGGCTGCTCTAATTTTTATTTTAAAAAAGAAATAAAAGCATGTTTGCTGTGTTGTGTACAATTAAAATATTATAGCACTTGGGGATTGGGAAAAACACTCATTTGAGAAGTATTAAGACTAGCACTCTGTTAGCAATTCTTGCTTCTCCTAACGCTTCTCTCATGTTCTGCATATGCCGATGGTGTCAGCACTGTGCTCCGTTCACCAATAGAGCACAGTTTTCAACTAATCAGCATGTGCGTACTATCCCAATTATATAATAACCTTGCATAAAGCCAAACACATGTTTTCTACTTTTCAAAAGATTTTTTGTCATCCCTCCCCCTCCACGTCATGATCATGACCACCCACCGGCATGACAGCTAATGATCTGACAAATCTTTAGTCATTCCATTTTTTGTCACTAGATACCTTATCAACTTTAGTCCTCTGAACAAGATCATGCACGGCTTGAGACATGACATCAACTTCGTAAGCTTTCTTTGGACTCATCATGAATGAAGACAAAGCTGACGCATGTTTCCCCACAATATCAAGTCCTCTCTTAAAATATTGTCCTTCTTGTACGTGAGGAAAACTCCTCAAATGAACACTTCTTACACGAGAAAGAAGATCTACCAAGTTGCTGCATTGCTTTAAAACACCAGAAGAACAGCCTTCGGGATTTTCCATTCCTTGAAGAAACAGAGAAGGTAAGGAAGCGACCTCTTCTACTGAAAGTTTATCCAAATCATCTCGTATTCCTTTGGGTAAACATGTATTCCATAGATCTTTAGTGAAGAAGTCTACATTGTGAGCGTTTATGATATTCTCATTCTCTACGAGGAAGTCCTTGATGCGAGATAAATCTGACTTAAGACGAGAAGCAAAACTTTCCTCCACGTCCGCCATGTTGGAAATCCCCACCACAGGAAACCCAACCATACACCACAGGAATCCCAATACAGAGTCTATACTCATTTTAAAACCTACACAAAAAACATGGCGCTACCCTTCTCCAAGACAACCGAGACAGGCCATATTCCGATAGTAGATTTTACTGCTTTTAGTATCTCTAACAAACAAAGGCCTCCTGTTGATGATGCTGCAGTGCAAAAGCTAGCTGAGGAGATTCACTCAGCGTTCAGTACTGTTGGATTTGTCTATCTAACCAACCATGGGATCTCTCAGACTGAGGTATAAATAACCTCTAAACTCTTAGAAGACTGATCATTTTTAACATTTATTAATTTTCCTTGTTATTGATGATTGGTTTTACAGTGAGGGCTCTTGAACCGTGAATATTTTGATATTTTTGTCGCTTTTTTAAAATGTCTACTGTAAAGCATCGCTTGAGCCAATCGAAAAAAAAATTTATATTTTTGAACACTCGGAGTCATGTTCACGGATCGAGTGTCCTCAGACGTGTCCTCATGTGATTGCATAATTATTAAATGAATAATGTGTATGATTTTAGCTTAGTTTTTGAAAAAGAATTTAATTCATCTAAGGGGGTCACGAAATAATTTTAAAATGAATTTCAAGATAAGCTTAATGAAGCTGAACTTTTCTGGTTTAGGTAGATAATGTGCTCCAAACGACTGATAAATTTTTTGGACAAAGCAAAGAAATAAAGTCAAAATACCAAAAAGGAAAAGGTTCATCACCAGATGGATGGGACGAGCTAGAACGAGAACAGTAAGCTTATGTATCTGTTATTCTTGGGGTGCAACCACATGACTCCAAATCCCTTGAGATATAAAGAACGATGAAACAGCCACCATGTTGGTTGATCTAACAAGAAATGCTAATGAGGAATGCTTTGTCAACAACTTGCAAGCTACATAAGTCTTATGATGACATAAGACTTAGTATAGGAAATCGCACAATCTCGAGTACAATTTGGAAATTAATAGACACGAGTAATGTTTTGAAAGTTCTTGTAATTGCACGAGCCTTTAGGCGAGTGCAATTAAAGAATTTTCAAAACATTACGAGTGTCTATTAATTCCAAATTGTACGAGAAGATCGTGCGATTTAATTTTTTGTTTATAGTTCACTCAACAAAATTTCAGTAAAAAATGCGAAGCGACGCCGTTCATCTTTGTCTATTTGGCGGCCGATTTTCAGCTCATCGCTCAACTGAAATGCATAAAAAATATTAGTTCTTACGGCTTAAAATTTTATTTATATGTTTTTTAAGTACAAAATGATAGAAAATAATTGTTTTGAAATTGTTTTGTCCGTGTTGCCATAGCGACTTAATTYGGTACTCCTACGGAGTACAATTAACGCTATAATTGTACTCCTCTCGACCAATCAGAGTCGGGAAATTTTGTTGAGTGTACTATAATGTATGAAATAACATGCACCACACAAATCATGTAAATCAAATTTTCCTCGTACTTACAGAGGTTTTGGCCATAAGGCTGTGTTCATAATGTATGGCAGGAGGTGGCAGGTGAAATTTAAACGGGGTCGGAAAAGTTTTTACCAGTAAAAGGGGGGGGGGGGGTTGATATTTTTTTTCAGAGAATTGGGGGATGCAACATTTTTAGAAGAATTAAGCTACAAGAGATTGCTGGGGATAGTTATTTTTTATCATTGTGATTTAGCTCAGGTACAAACGAAATATTATAAGGTGTTTGTACTGAAGATAGACCACAATATGCACGATGTTTGCTATCTCAGTAAAGGTGTATTCTCTACTTTTGCATATCCATAATACTTTGTGGCTTTGGGGGGTAACTAGAGGAAAGAACAGCACTTACTGTGCTGAAGACTGATCAGACAACATTGAAAATACCTTGTTTGATGTCGAAATATAAAATGAAACAGTTATATAGAAGATAGAAAGAGAAATAATAAAATATTGATCAGTCTAAGGAGTTTGAAGTAAATTTTAAACATTTCTTTGTATGCGTAAGCCAATTTATTTTCTGTATAAACGCCAAACTTTTTGATGTTCTGAACACGCAAAATTAACTTAGACTGAATTACTGATGATTGAATCAATCCCTATTAATAGCTTATGCTTGTCCCATCACCAACAGAACCAACCTCAACAGGCCACCAGACCTGAAGGAATCATTTGATGTTGGAGCAGTGTATAATGAAAACTTTGTAAGTTTTCCATGCATATCATGAATTATCTTACTTTGTAACATAGATTTGGTAGCCAACCTATGTCCATGCACTACATTATAACAAAGACTCTGTATGTATGGCCAGAGGTCAACTTCTTTGATATTTTTTCTGTAATCTTGAAAAGCATATTTTAAATTCTGGCCCCTTTCTCTAAAACTTCTAACAGGACCACTAATTAAGGATGTGATCAAATAATTGCCATTATTCACAAATTAGGTAAAGGGTTTATATTGTGTACACTTTGTAAAATGGCAGATATTAGAATTACAATTAGCATGTGTGCATCCGGTCCAGCATGCACACAGGCTAACTTACATTCAGTCCCTATTGCCTTCAAACAATAATTGCTGTATTTTTTATTGTATTGACCCAAATGCCTCAACTTGAAACAATAATTGTTTAAAGGCAATAGAGTGTAAACTCTAATATTTGCTATTCTTAAATGGTTTATATGCGTCTTAGTCATTTCATGATTGTTTTAATACTTATTTCAAAATTTATTTATAAGAACTGGCCCAGTGATGATGTGGTTCCTAACTTTAAGTCTACTATCAAGAACTTCTATGAACACCTTAGCGATCTTGGATTCAGGGTATTGTCTGCAATAGCTATTGGACTGAATTTGGTAGGTTGGCCAATCTTTTTCTGAAAATCTTTCCACAGACAGACAGACAGACAGACAGACAGACAGACAGACAGACAGACACAGACAGACAGACAGACAGACAGACAGACAGACTTTTTTATTCAGTATCAAATATTGAATATATACATAGACATCATTTTACCCGAATAAATGTATGAAGGCTATAGAGTGCAAACAATATAACCGTGAAACTTTAGTAATACTAAATAGCACAATTTCATGCAAATTCCAT